CATGCTGGGTAAACACGACTCCGGTGTCTGTGCATCTCCTGGAATCCTGCCAAGTTCTTTAGATTCAGGAGATATTTTTTTATAATGCCTATGAATTTATGCTACAAAGACAACCTCGCCACTCCAGCCCCCTCCACTGTCACCCCTGAAATTCCATTTAGTTTCAATTTTACTGCTCATGCCTGGCTCTATTTGAGCCGTACTCTGTGAAGGTGAAACGCCACCGCGCCGGCCCTGTATTGATTTAGAAGTCACCTGCAGCTTCTGGTTAGTGACCCAAGCAGAAAGTGCTGCCCTCGGACCAAGGTGAGGATGCAAGCCTGGCTGAGCGAGGAGGTGCAGGTTGGGGCCCCCCGCCCTGGCCACACCCTCAGGGAGCACCCTGAGAGAAAATCTTACATTTTCCTCTTAAGACTTCTACCGAAGGAAGGTGACGAACTCCTAGGAACACGGAAAGATCTGTCCTTTGACACCAGCTCCACTTCCGGAAGTGCGTCCCACGGGTGCACCCACGCATGCGCACCCAGGGCCATGTGTTCGTACTGCGGAGCCCTGAGCGGCGGAGGCGTGGCTCAGCGTCGTTCTCCTTTCCGGCCTGACCTCGTTCCTCTGGTACCAGACTCTCGGTTCGCGTGGGGATCCCACTCTCTCCTCCAGCAGGCTGACTACACCCCAGCTGCTGGCTGAGGTCGTGTGGCTCAGACCTGGCTGGCCAGACCAGGAACATCCTGGCGCAGCGACCAGCTCCGGGAAGGTTGCGCTCACTGCGCAGACGCAATGGGGCTTCTCCCTGGGACTTTTCCTAAAGCAAGGAAGACGCTGGGCGGAGTCTCCCGCCGCTGCAGGGTGTGTGGGAGGTAGTAGGGTTGTTGAGCTGTGGTGCAGCAACTTAGTAACCTTCTTGCTCCTGGAGAACTTCATTCAGATGAAGCTACTGTGAGCAAATAGAGAGAGACAGGACCCACGGGTCAAGAAATCTACTGAGCACCTAGGTTCAGTCCGTCCTGGAGCTAATATAGATCTCGACTTTTCCATTACTCAAGCCCATAGATATTCTTAAAAAAAAAAAAAAAAAAAAAAAAAAAAAAAGGAAAGGCTTTAATCCCCATTTGTTCTGGATCAAAAACAGAGAAGCGGAGTGTTCAATACCCTGGAAAAAAGATCAGGACAACTGAGAACTTCATTGCACTAACATTGTAAGAATGAGGAAGGAAGCTGAAAAACGTAGCGTTGGGATTCATGCTCTTCTGATTAAAAAAAAGAAATGTTGATGAGGCAACTTTGAACTCAAATTCCGAGATTTGGAGCCGAGTCCTGCCAACCTTTCTAACAATTATTGTGCTTTTCTTACAGCTGCGAGTGTCTGATTCTAAATCAGTGGGAGTTTTTGGATTCCTCCAGGTGCTGTCCTTTGTAAAACCAATCTCTCCAGTTGTCTAAGTGCAAAGAGACCTGATTGTATGAAGGAAGTGTACCATTTCAGATGAGCAGGGCGACGCATTTGCTGCTTCTCTGTGTGGTCTTTCCTCTGCACGTGTCACCTTCCACCCAGCATTTCCGGCCCCCTGCCTTCCCCACCACCCTCCTTTTCCTGCCGTGGAGACACATGGGTGCTCCTGCAGCTGTCCTCATCCCAGCTCCCCAACCCCGACCCTAGATTCAGAGAGCAGAGACACGTGGAGCCTTTTGCCGGCCGGCTGCTGGGGCTCTTCTCTCCCAGTGACCTGAATAATGTGCGTGGACACATTTGACTTGGGTTGAACTGTTCACTTTACTTTAGTTTATACACCAGGGTCGGTGGCACTTTGAACACAGCAGGAAAATCTACGTGAATGAACACACAGGTATATAAAAGGCCAAGCAAACGCATGCCTTGGACACAGCTGTGTCGTCACCAAGGGTCCTCACAGTGGCCTGCACTCTCACTACTGAACCTCAGCGAAGCAAGGAGACCCAGAAATTGCATGGGGTTCTGATCGCCGTGGAATCCAGGCAGGCTTTTCCCTCTCTCTGCAGAAGCCGGGTTCCAGTTGAAAGGTCTGCAAGCAAAGACTGGACACTAGTTTTACAAAAATTGGACAAAAGCTTTCTATCACCTTCTGCCCAATACTTTAGTGACTTCTTTCTGCTGGCTTTGCACTCGGCGTGATCTTCTCTCTCTAGTGCCTTGGAGTCTGAATTTACATAGCTGCCCTGAGGCCTTTCTAGTGTGGGCTTTACTGCTATCGGTGTCCCTCTGTGTACGGCTTTCTCTGCATTCTGCTTGCTTCAGTACATTGTGTTCTCATCTTCATTTGTCTCAAAGTATTTTCTGATCTCCTTTTTGATTTCTCCTCCAACCTTTTAGTTGTCCCAAGATGTTGTCTCTGTGCATTTTCCAGTATTCTCTCCAATATCCATTTCTAGATTCATTCCATGGTAGTCCGGAAAGGAACTTGGTACAATTCATCTCTGTGTTCTTAAGGTGCAGACGTGGCTTTGTGGCTAAAGACGGGGTCTGCCCTGGAGAACGTCCTCAATGCCCCCAAGGAGCATGGGCCTGCTCCCCCACGTCCACTGAACCACGTGACTCCCAGCCACCAGGGCGTGGAAACATCGGTGGCAAGTGTCCACTGACGGTTGAATGGACAAAGAAAACGTCACGTCGAAACACAAAGCAGTGTTGCCCAACCTTCACAAAGAAGGAAAACTCACATATGGAACAACATGAGCAAACCTGGAGAAGATCATGCTGAGTGAAAAGAGCTGGGGTCAGGAGTAGATCCCTACTCTCCAGGGTAGAGAGTGGGGAGAGCATAAGTTGACATTTGCAAAGACAAGGTCTTGGTTAAGCGAGACGAATACATTCCAGGGCTGTGCTGCCCACCATCCGGCCTGCAGGTAACAACACAGCACTGCGCACAGCAGTTTCCAAGAGGGCAGAGTTTGTGTGGAGTGTCCACATCACAAAATAAATAAACTCTCATTCACTGAAAAACTAAAGATCACTTCAAGAGCAGGACACAAGGAAGGTGGGAAAGCCAGCAAGGGATGTGTTTTGTACTAGTCAGGGGCACCTGGGGCCCCATGTTCCTGTGGACTCTGAGAACCCTGGAAACAAACACAGAGAGAGCACTCCCTGTATACTTCCTCATCCCATCTTACCCCGTTGCACTCCGACAACTTGAGAGTTCAATTTTACAAAGGACAGGAGAGGAAGGGCACATCCACCTACTTCCGGCCGCCTGTGGGCTGGTTGCAGTGGTCCCCAGGTTGTCTCCCCCACCCCTTTCGCTCTCTCTGGTGCACAGCTGTGGCATTCTGGCCAGGGCTGAGGACGACAGCTGGCAGCTTGCATGGGAACAGCCCAGTACACACACAGCTGAACCAGGTGACTCTAGATAAAGCATCGTGGGACACCGGTGTGTCTGCTCCAGTGCAGAAGGGCCCTCGGAGAACCCACCCCTGCACTGTCCCTTCCCTTTAGGCACAAGTAAGTGTGTCCCATCCAGCCAAGGCTATCCTTCTGCCCCTACCACACTCACCTGGCCTGGGGTCTGGTGGTGCCTCAGCTGTTTCAGTGGCCGGGACTGCAGTTAGCCCACTACCTGTCCCACATGTTACCCACACGGTGACCTGCAGAGCAGCACAGCTGGCCACACCTCCTCCCTGCATTTGGGGAGTTTGCCAATCCTCTGCTGTGTCTTCACACGCATTCCACTTACCGTGTGCATCCTGCTTTCTCCGTGTGCAGTGGACAAGCAGCAGCTCAGGGACCCAGCTCACTGTGTCTGGCTCCAACTGGGATCTCAGAATGACAGAGCACCTCTGTGGCTTGGATCCTGCACCTATTGTCTCAGAGCCCATGTTCACCTTTCCCCAACACCTCTTCCTCTCCAAGCCCTTGCTGTGCTGGGAGCTGTCAGCAACAACACAATCGCCCCTTTGCTCTTCACTTGAGAGGCCCCAGCTCACCCATGGCAGCTCCATCTCTGAGACAACGCCAGGGCCAGACATTAACCCATACTCCGGTCTCCTGAGACACCTTTACCCTGTACCACACACACACACACGCATCTCATTGTTCCCCAGGTCAGGTGTTCAGAGAGAGCGCAGCTGGTTGATTCTTCTGCAGAGGGCACAGGGTGGTTCCCCATCAGGGAATGACCCCAGGTCATGTTCAGAGAGAGCGCAGCTGGTTGATTCTTCTGCAGAGGGCACAGGGTGGTTCCCCATCAGGGAATGAGCTGGGCTACAGTGCCTGGGAGCACTTGGCCATCATATCTGGGACCTTTTGTGAGGGCTGCTGGCAGGTGAGCTGCACGTGGCCTGAGAGCTGGTGTCCTCAGAGTGGTTGGGCCTCTGACGTGTCCATGCAGGGACCCACACAGCATGTCGTGAATGGCCCAGTCTCAGACCTAGCAGTCAGTTGTGTCTCCAGGTCACTGAGCACGGACAGGGTTAAGCAACAGCATGCTCTTCTCTCCTCAACCAGAACAGCAAAAAATGCTGCCAGCTTCAGCCTACCACCCACAGGGAAAGCTACCCCCTCCTTCCGAGGCACTTGTCCTGCCGCAGACATGGGACCATAACAGACCGCAGAAGATGGGTGAGAATGAAAAGTGCTCAGTTTTCGGCCCTTGCACAGGATCTGAGAAGCTCAGCTCTACTTTGCTCCAGACTGGACTGGAAACTGCCTTGACCCTGAGCACCTCAGGAACCTCAGACCACAGCATGTGAGCTGTGTCTCTCCCACGCTCTCAGGGAGCTCCTCAGAGTGCGGACTTCCGAGTACACTGGGTCAGGAGGGCCCCCGCGCACAAGACTGAGGGTCATTACTGCTGAAGAGCAATGTGTGTGTGCTGAGGATGTGCCTTCCCCAGCAATAATTTATAAACGAAAGAGGGAAAAATCATAATAATCATTAAAATCCCAAGAAGGAGGCTAATTATAAATGCAGAGTGCTTTATCTTGCCAAGGCTTAAGCTTTAAGTTCCTAAGTGGGAGAAAATCGAGGGCAGTTTTGTTAATTTTATCTGAAATGCCATGTTGTGCATGGCACTCGCAGGTTCCCAGGGTCCAGCAGAGCTGCCGGCAGGCGCCATGGTGGCTGGCCTGTCCAGCCAGAGTCAGAAGTGGTTCTCACGGAAGTGGCCAGGGCAGTGACCGGAAGCAGTGGTCCACCCCACCCTGGAGTCACGGTCACAGCTTCAGGGTGGCACCCGGTCCTCCGATATGGTGGGGGGCTGCACCACAGGGGGAAAGTAAATGGCGTGGCCCATGAGCACACTGGACATCAGCTGAGGGTTTAGAGCTCTTCCTTTTGAAATGGCTGCTTTGTCCACACTGCTCAGGGTGAAAATCCTCAGCAGACTCACAGGGCTTCTAGAGCCCTCACCACCTGAGAAATGAATCATGAGCAGGTTTACGGGACACCAAAGCGAGTCTTCATGGCAACAGGGCTGGGATGCAGCACTGGGTCGGCCGGCAGGGGGCGCCCTCCTGGACTAAAGGAGCAGCTGCAGGTCTGTGTCGGTGAAGGGCAGAGCCGAAGGCTTGCTGCCAGTGCTGGGAATGTGCTGAGAGGGCCCCTTCCCTCTCTCCTGCTCTGAGTCGCCCCAGTTGGCCCCCCCTCTTCCTCTGAGAGGCGCTCGGGGAGGGCACCACACGGCCTGTCTGGCTGCACTCATGTAGGAGAATGGCAGCTTGGTAGCCAGGCAGACCCTGGAGCTAAATTTCCTAGACCGTGGGGGAGGGGGAGGCACACTGCCACTGGCCCAGCCAGGTCCCCCTCCAGCTGGCACAGGATAAATGAGTCGGTGCTTCTCATCTGTCTCACAGGAAGAAAGAGGCCAATGAATAGCCTGAAATTCACTTAAAGGGAAGGTGAGCGAAAAAATGCTCCACTCTTCACTATTTAAAAGCCCAGGAGTACTGGAAGCAAGCGAAATCCCCTTGAACTAATGGATGAGTAAACCCATGGTGGTATATGTTTATACAGTGGAATACTAGTCGGTAATGAAAAATGAGTTACCAAGCCAGGAAAAGACATGGAGGAAATTCAAATGTGTATTACTAAGACATGCATATTACTAAGTTAAAAAAAAAAAGAGCCACTCAGTGAAGGCTGTGTACTGCATGGCTCCAACCCACGACATTCTGGAAAAAGCAAAACTTTTGGTGACAGTGAAGAAGAGGCCGTCGGGGACTGGGGATGGAAGGGCGGGCCGAGCAGCAGGCAGAGGATTCCAAGGGCCACAGCCACTCTGTGTGACGGACACTGCAGTGGTGGGGCTTCTGTCGACACGCACAGGATGCTAAACATGAGAGTGCTTCCCGTGGAGTACGAGCCCTGCCGCTGACAGTGTGGAACCCCAGTGGGGAGCAGGGTGGCCCTGGAGCCCTGAGCCTGGCCCTGCTGGTCCCCTCCCCGTGGGTACAAACCCCACTCTGGGAAAGAGGCAGAGACCAGGCGAGATCTCAGGTGTGAGCGTGCCACACACACCCCCGGTCCGCCCCCAGGCTTCCTGCCAGACAGAGTGTGCCACAGGACAGCGTGTGTCCCCCCTGTCCCCAGCAGTGTGCAGCTGCGGCTCCTTTACATGGGGCTGGACTGGGCCCCGACTCACAGCTGGCATCTGCACTTGTCCAGTTCATCCGCACAGGGTCCCAAGGCTGCCGCACACAGGCGCTGCCTGCAGACCCCAGAGGCCTCCGGGTCCTTGTCCTGGGAGGGGGTTGTGGGGTCCTGGGGACACCCCTGTGGTCTCTGGGGAACTCCTGGATCTGTCCAGATTGGAGTTTTGTTCTCATTTATGCTCCTCAGTCCTGGGGATGCTCCAGAAGTAACCACTCTCTGTGTTACCTCCGCGGACCAAATCAGTTCTCTGCTGGGGCCTCTGCACCTAGCTGCTGCGGGGAGAGAAGAGCTGTGTCACACCTGCCAGTTTACCTGTGCCACCCACCCCATCCTCCGATGGCCTCCGCACCGCATGATGTGCAGTTGTGTTGGTTCTGAGCCATGCTCTACAGCAGGGCCGTGAGCCAGGGGTCAGTGGTACAGGCTGCAGGACTGGGTGCCAGCTGAGCAGCCTGATGGTCACCCCACATTGTCGCTGCGTCTAAGCAGTACACGATCACCAAGCCCCTCCCGACTGCACCCTCACCCAGGCAGGGTATCCCAGCCTCCTCTGGACCCAGCCCACGATCCCCTCACCACCTCAGGCATTCTCCTGCCCTCGAGGGGTAGCTCTGTTCCTGGGAAGACAGCTACACTTCAATCCCAGGGAGGCACTAGGAGGGAGACCTTCAGGAGCCACTGCATTCCTCAGCCAGAAGAGAAAACACTGCAGGGCACTCTGAGCCACTGGGGATGGGGGGCCGTGTGCTGCTCACACCCCAGTAGTGTCCACGGGACTGAGTCCATTGGGCCGGCGGGGTCCCTGCAGTGAGCTGACAGCTCAGCGAGGTAGCCATGCACCCAAGGCGCATGTGAGCAAGTAGCTTATCCCCTCCTGTGTGGCCTCCTCTCCCTGGGAACATCAGCAGCACACCCAGAAATCAAAGGAGCTTGGCGGCCCGCCTATACCCCTGGATGGGTCACCCAGCAGCGTGTGCTCCTGCGCAGGCCCCACTGGTGTGTTCACTGCAGTACAGGAGCCTCCCTGGGACCCAGCTCTTCTCTACAGCCTGAGGCTCGTGTTTGGAGAGTGCCCAGCCAGCAGTGCCCCCAGACTCAGTACCCCACTGGGTCAATGCACCAGAAAGGACGCAGCTGGCTGGCCCTCCAGAGCGAGAGTTGCACCCCCCAGGTCTGCCCAGGTGGCCAGCAGCGCATCAGTGCAGGCCTGGCCTCCCAACTCCAAGCAGACGCTTCCATTCATAAGGCCAATTTTCCACTTCCTTTCCATTCGCTCTGCCTCTCTCTTGTTTTATCGCCACTCTGTCTGTGCGTATCCCCAGCACCTCCCCATTGTCTTCCTCCTTTAAATTTCATATTCTCTGCTTTACTGTTTAACTTGATTTCCTGTCCTTGGACATCTGTTTTTATCATCTTATTCCTACTCGCAGCCTTGCCTTCGGAAGCCACTGCCTGGCCTTCACAGGGAGCTACCTACCCCCCTTTTTCCTGCATGCCCCCCAGGGCAGGTGCAGAGTCCAGATCAGGACTTCGTTCCAGGTTCGGTCTCAGTCACTCCACCCCTCCTCCAGCCTCTCCCATCAGTCACCCAGGTGTGTCCACCTTTCAGAGTGCAGCTAAGCGACTTCACAGCATGGGCCCATCCTAGGTCCCAGGACACCATGCCTCTCTTGGGGACACTGGGAAGCTGAAGACCAGAGCGACAGGGACAGGCTGTGTGGCCATGAGGGAGGTGGGCGGCAGACTTGCTGGGGGTCCCGAGGCCTCTCAGAAAGAGACCTGCATGTCCTGGCCAGCGAGTTAGTCGATAGATCGGGGTGCAGGACCTATCTGGAGGATCCAGAGGGTCGCTGGTGGGAACAGGGACTGTGAGGGACAGCGGGAGATGGGGTGAGGGTACAGGCAGAGGCCAGATGGCATAGGATCTTCTGGGCCATGCAGCGACCCTTGAGGGTCTACAGGGTCTACTGGAGGGCTACATGCCTGTGTCAGACTCGGGGCCTGGCTGGCAGAGCACTGTGGGAGGGGCAGCTGCGGCACACAGGCGGGATGGAGGTGACAGGCCTCAGGTCACCATCCGGACAGAAGTGACGGAATGTGGATGCTCTGGGGGAGACAACATGAAGGGAGAAAAAGGACAAATAAAATAAAAGTCAATTCTCAGCCCCACCCTGAAGGTGCTGGCGCCATGAGCTGAATTGAGGCACAGCTGCAGCCCCTGAAGCAGTCCTGGGAGTGCACGTGGCCGCTGACCCGGGAACACGGGATCCACAGCCCTTCTGAGGGCGATGACAAGCAGGCGTGAGGGTCACACTGGGTCCCCTCCGGACGGCCTCCTCTGCTGTGCTGTGCTTCCATAAACAAGCGAGAGACAAGGCAGGCACCGTCAAGGTCACAGGAGTGCTCTGTGACGGGCACCCCCATGACAAGCATCTCTCTGATCCACCCCTGGTGCACCCCGCTTCGGCAACAGCACACAGGAAATACGCAAACAAAGCCATGACACCGGACAGATAAAGACCCTCCCGCCGGCGCTCCGGTATGCGCCCGCCTGCTGCAGCAGAGCTGTAGCTTCGACAGCCGCCCCCGGGGTCAGGCTTTCCAGGTCCTCACTGTCGCCCTGCCGTTCTCCACCTGCCCACAACCTCAGACCTGGGCCCCGCAGAGCGGGGAGCACGCCGCTGTGGCCCTCACCCTGCAGAGCGGACAGGCGACAGACGCCCCAGGAGCTGCAGTGCTCTGAGAGCGAGGTGGGTGTGAAACCCTGGAAGCCAAAGAAGATTCTCTGCCCCTGGAGAATGGACAGCGCAGGGTGGAAGGGGCCTTGTCTCTGGACAGCTGGCGGTGACCGGACAGAGCAGCCTCAGCGCAGAGGCCCAGAGCCTGCACTCCTACCTGTGCAGCTGGCCAGGACTGCCTAAGAGGCTAGAAAAAAGAAAGGAAAAGCTGGGGTCAGCTGGCGGGTGCATCTCCCGGCAGCCACGCCCACAGGTGACGTCACACTGCCCAGGAGGCCACACTCGGCCTGAGACACAGAACGCGGCCACCTGCACATCCACGGCTGCTCCCGTCTCTGGAACAAGGACCGCGGCCTCCCTGTGCGAGGCTTATGTGAGGTAATGACCCACAGCCTTCAAATGAGCCTGGCTTACCATGAATTTCAGTCAGCGCTGAAGGGGAAAGATGGCGTTGGTGAAATCAGACTTTCATGGTAACAGTGCTTCTCCCGTTTATTCCCCGTGACCACCTAGCTTGCGCAGGTGAGAGTTATGGAACTGAAGGCAGAGAGCTCGGACATGTGCCCTTCTCTCTCTCTCTCTCTCTCTCGCTCTCTCTCGCTCTCTCTCTCCCTCCCTCCTGCCCTCTCAATCTCTCACTTGGTTCTTCCTTTAAGCCTGTTTTTTTTTCTTCTGTTCGTGCAGGGAAGTTTTCTTGAGCTATTTTCGTTCACTTCCACAGTGCCTCAAACATCTTCAACTTTCCCCAAAGACCTTATTTTATTCTACAAGCACACCTTTTGCTAACACTCTCCTGCTTTCTTTACAAAACAGCCTTTTGTCTAACCATGAAGTGTCTAAAAAATAAGAGGGGCTCAACAGTGGGGAGATGCAGGCTTGATGTAAGCATTTGATTTGCTTCTAAAGATGCACCCCTTCCCAGACACCTCAACAAGTGGGAGACAGAGCGGAGAAGTCTATCGAGCTTAGCAAACATCTGTAGTCCAATTACAGTCAACAGTTTACAGGTGCTGAGAGGAAACAGTCACTCACAGCCACCCTCCCAAATGCATTTTCCTAATCTCTCTCAGAAACAAAAGCACACTTCTCTCTAGGGCCCTTTATCCAGGTGCCAGGGCAGGGCTCCAGCCCCTCCTCCTGGCTGCTGTGTCCTCCCACGATGGCAGAGAGGTCACAGGCCAGAGCCTCCCTCCCCAGTGACTGTGCTTCTCCGACTCCTCCCTCAGGGCTGACTCTGCCCAGTGGAGGTCCGAGCTCACAGACCCAGGGCTGGGCCCAGAAAGCAGCATTTTTGAGGCTTCAGGCACTGCATGTGCCCTGGGAAGAAATGTGTTTGTCTCAAGTGCCACCGTGTCTGGCATCAGTGGGGAGGGTGCTGAACGTCTGGGTCCCAGGTCCCACTCCCCCAGGTTCCGAGTCCCAGAGTCTCAGTGGAGCTGTGGATCTGCATTTTTCATGAGCCGGTCTGCTCCTTCTGTGCGGATGGTCAGCAGTGGGGGTGGTGGAGGAAACTGGGGAACTTGCAGGTGCCCATACAATGGGGTGGCTTTGCATTTTTAAGTGGCTCCTGCAGCTGTGGGCTTTGCCCACCCAGGGCCCGCAGCAAGCAGACTGGCATTCCTTGGAGAATCACTGCTTTGGATCTGCAGTCGGATCGTATTTCCCCCTTCACACGTCTTCACCACTTCATGCAGACGAAGTCTGACAAACCGATGCTCTCTGCTGGATTCGCATGGGTTACTGCAACTCTTCGGACACTTCCTGAGAATGCGGCTCTGTTCTCTGTCACATGCTGCTGAGCAGGTTGCCTTGAACGGATCGTCCGGGGCTTAGGGTGCAGGCGTGCAGCTCCCCCCACGTCTGACTGTGTGATGGGTGTTGAGGAACCCACCCCGTGGAGGTAGGAGGAGTCCAAGTTAATGTACACAGAGCTCCTGCAGCCAGGCCTGGCACACAATCAGTGCCTAGTAAGGGCCAGTCGTGGCCAGGATACCCTCTCCCTGGAGTCACAGTGCATTTTAGGAGGGCAGAGACTCTCAGACACTTGGTTGTAGGCAACTAGGACATGCGCTGAGCCCCGCATCTGGAACCCAGGCCCACCTGCTTTGCAAACATACTCTTCTTCCAGAACTCACCAGCTTGTCAGTCTGGGCAACCTCAGGACTCTGGACAAGGCTCTGCATCACACTCGGCCTCCCGAGGACATGGGTGGCACTAGGGATGGACATTTCAAGGCAGTGTCCGACTGCACCAGGCAGGGACAAAGCAGCCGCAGAAGGACACAGGATAAAGAGCATCTCTCCAAGGAGCGGGCTCAGGACTGAGGCATCGAACCCGCCAGCGTGGATTTGGGCTGTGCTTGTTCCCCAAACCGCACTGGCTGCCAGGGACCTCTCAGCCAGCCTGCACGCCACGATAAGCTTGGCACACTCAGCCATGAGAACTGGCAACCTCTTCTCCCCTGCAGGCAGGGAACTGGACAAGACGGGGAGGGGAGACAAGATCTGGTTCCTGCTTATTAGTTCCGCGGTCACAGGTGGAGAAATCAAACCTAGCCTCAGGTATTGGACAAAGAGCTCTCTGCGCAACTTGGGCTGTTCCAAACTTGACCTTAAATGTAACTCCGCAGGAGCCAGCAAGCCTCTCCCCCAAGGCCAGGCCTGGAGGGCGGAAGGAAGGGGCTTTCTGCATGTGTGCTGGCCTGGAGTGGACTCTGACCTTGGCCCTGAGGGCTCCACTCACTCTTCTCCTTCCTGGCGTTTCTTAAACCAGATCTAATGTATTCTGGATACCGAGCTCCTTCAAACCAAGACAAAGAAAATCTGAAATATCTGAGCAAACAAACCACTTTTCTTTAAATCTCTGAGCTAAAGGAAACTGCAGAAACCTTTACTCACTTCCCAAGCTGTGCGTATTAGTTCCTTGAGGAAGTGTTCCACAGTTTGGAAATCATCCAAGCAGACAAATGCAGTCGCCTGGCCTGTGGGAGCCTGTGTTCCCCACAGCCCTGCTGTCCGGGAATGTCTTCTTTTCTGGGCACTCTGACTGCTTTCTTGGCTTCTGGGGCCCAACAGTGCCTTCTGCTGCACAAACAGAGATCAGTCCCATCCAGACCTTAGGGCCCAGGGCAAGCAGGCCGGGACCTGGAGCTGGAGGGTAGCAGCAGACTCATTTCCCTCTTCTCCTGTCCTCTGCTGTCGTGGTAGTGGCCATTGCTCCCGAGCTGCCTCAGTGGGCTTCGGCAGCGAGGCCTGGGCGGGGTACTCAGCAAGAGGACACCAGGGACACAGAAGGCAGAATGAAGTACCCGTCCCATTCTGGGGCCTGGGAGGGCGCTGGACTGAGGTCACCGGGTGCTCCAGCCAGAAGGGACTCCAGGCCCGGGGACAAGTACCTGGCAGTCTTCTTCGGTTTTCATACCCTCTTCTCCTTTGGCCTCTGCCCCAAAGGGATGCAGGTGTCCCGCAGGGCTGGGCTCCAAGGAAGCAGCCCGGCCAGGCGGCGGGCGTGGCGGCGGGCG